CGAATTAAGCCGGGACCCGTCCTCGATCCGAACTATCTGGCCCATGTATACACTCACGCGCCGTTCCGCTGATTCGAATCGTGCGCCGGAGGAAATCCCTTCCCGTGAGAGGATCATCCGTTCAGGAAGGGATTCGTCCGAATTATCGGCCGTCAGCTGTCTAAACAAAAAAAAAGAAAAATGCCTGGCGCACGCAGTTCTGTTCATAGCCATTTCAGCTTTTGTGCGGTTGTTACCGCTTTTCCACGGGTTTTTAGCTATTGCTCGAGACGGTTCAAGTCCAAGATGGTAAGGGAAAAGAGAAGGAAGGTGAAGTTGACACCATGCTGCTAAAACTACTCTTATTATTGAGGGCCTTGAGTGGCTGGCAGCACAGAATGCTCACGTAATTTAGCCTTGCTAGGCGCTTGATCTATGCAGACAGCAGGCGTCGACGGTGTTTGGTGCTATCTTTCCGCCTAAAGGTTAGATTAGTTTACATCTGGGGCAGGCTCCATGCGTCCAAAAGCCAGATGGAGGTAATATGGTTATTTATATAGCTTTGACTTGTTCTCATTTTAATTTTTGGATTGCTCAAAATTCTTGCAGAGAATGCCTCCAAGTTTTGTTCATTAAGTTAATACCTTAAGTCCCCAGGAGTGTTTTTGCAGATGTTCCTTAAATTAGGTTGCTGGTTGCCTGTCAGTTTAATTTGTGTGAGAAAGGTAGCTTAAAAATTGCTGCACGATATGACGGATGAACAAATATAGATCATTGCAGTCAGCTCGGAATGTGAACTTTTAATGGTAGGACCGAAATTGCCCAATGATGGGGTCAAAACAGCAAGAAAGCAAATGTGAACACTGGATGAAAATAGTTATCATTTCTCTGCTAAATCCAAGTTTGTGTGTTCCATGTGCAGGAAAACAGTGCATAAACTAACACCTAACATGATGGCACATGCTGCATGGAGAACACGTCTGTGTTGCATATCATCACCTGTTTTTGTGCTGGTGATTAAATATGTCACCTTGGTGCTTTTTTGTGATGGGTGTCTTTGCAGGCCACGAGGTAGGTAATTCAACTGTTCAACAATTCTTGCAGGGAGTACCAATAGTTCCTTTCATTAGGTGAATACATAAATGCCCCAGGATTGATTTGCAGACATTCCTCCTGTGACTTGAACATTTGGTTGACCACCTATTGGCAGGAGGGATGTGCTGGATATTGGTGACTGGCTTGTCAAGGAAATATGAAGTTACGTCACACTGGTAGACCAACTGGCAAGGAAGTGGGGGCTGGAATATTTGTTTTTGATGCAATTAGGCTGTTTGTTGCTTGTCGGTTTAATGTGTGAGATAGGTAACTCAATAATTCCTGCATGATGCAAAGGATCAACAAATATAGGCAATAGATAATTGCAGTCAGTGCAGAATGTGAACTATTTTTAATGATGGGACCAAAATTGCCCAGTGATGGTTCCAAAATGTCAAGAAAGCAAATGTGAGCACTGGATGAAATTAGCTGTCATCAGTACTCTGTCAAATCCAGGTTTGTGCATTTCATGTGGAAGAAAACAGTGCATAAACTAAGTAAACCTAACCTAATGCCACATGATGTGCAGAGAACATCTGCAGTGCACATCATTACCTGTTTTTGTACTGGTGAGTAAATATGTTGCCTCGGTGCTTTTTTGTGACACGTATCTTTGCAAACCATGAGGTGGATAATTGAGCTGTTGCTATAATTAATCATTTGTTATGAATTTTGAGCCCAGATTGCTTTTGTCATGACAGCTCTGGGGCTGGTTCACGTTATGATCTTTGGACTGTGCGAACACGGCTGTTTGTGCCACCTAGCCATCAGTCCATATCAGCCAATGCTGTTGACTGCAAGGATATCAAAGTAGTATTTCAACCCTAGTATGTCAAGAAAGCAAATAGCTGCATTCTGACTTGCCAGTCCATGCCAAGTCTAAATGGCAATGCTGCCCGCAGGTACTGATGATGCATTGGATGGGGAAAGACAACATAGTTACACAATTTTTGCCACTAACTATGTAGCATTCATGAGTCATTTCTGTAGCTTAGCTCACTGTTGCAGGCTGCTCATAAATGCATTGGTGCGGGATTAGGTAATGTGTTTCTTGGGCTGCGCAAAGTAGATGACATGATGCTGGGTGGCATACTGATGAGTGTGGTAAGTTTGTGAGTGTCATTGGCCAATACAAGAAAATACTGATTTCGTGCTAGTTAGTTTCCTGCTAGTAAAAATTTGCATATAACACTGCTTATGTGACAGATTTGGCAGTGCTGACTGCGCAACTCCTGTGTTTCAAGTGCTATGGCTTGTGCTGTAGCTACAAAGCCTATGAGTCCCGCACAGATCATTTTTCCAACGGAGTCCATCTTCCTCCTCGCCCTCAAATCTGTCTCGCGCCCGCCATGGCTCGTGACATTCGCCATCCATACGCAGAGTACCGGCTTTTTTCTTCTTGTTTTGTTCAGTTCGCCTCAAAAGCGCAGTTTTCGCCCATAACCCGTTCCTTGGTTCGAACTAAGCGGGATCGAACTATCGACCGTTAATCCGACGTAAAGCCGGTTTCGCCCATGTAAACGCCCCTCGCCGAGAGGGTTAACGTCGCATGATCCGTTCCGATCTTAATTCGAATTATCCTCGGCTGCCCATGTAAACCGGGTAAGTAGGACGTTTCGCACGCTAGCCACAGGTATCGAATCAGACCCACACACCAACCATGGGCGACGTGCCATCAGGGCAACAAGCAGAGAGAAAGTATTAAGGGGCGTTTGAGATGTGGCCACACTTGCCTCGCCCAGCAGCCGCCTATTTATTCGCACCGCACCACCGATCTGCGAGATTTGTAATGCCCCGCACACGGCAGAACACGCGTTGGTTGGATGCGCTACTCTTACTCGGGAACGTCGCTATCCCACGAGTTACGTATTAATGCACTCCCTCCCCCACACCCTCCAAACGCTGCCAGGCGACAGTGATATTCTCTTAAACGGTCTTGTCCTGGACTTCGTGATTAAATCGCCAGTGAGTACAGAAACTGACCGGAACTGATTTGCCACTAAGTCCCGTGCTACGTGAGAATAATGCTGGGAAAAGGTAACAACCCGGGACCCAGTGAAACTGGGCTTTTACTACGGTTTTTCCCACATGTATGCAATAAATTGTGGTCTTGAATAACGGTCGTTGTTGGCCATCTTTCCTGTATTGCCAAGTCTATCAAAGCAAAATAACATAGATGTGGTTTTCCCGTAGTTCCCTCTCTAAAGTGGCCACCAGACTGATTTAGCTGAGTTGGTTTATGTGCGGGATTATTTACGGGGCCCCGCTTTCCTCTCTTGGCGAATAACGCAAGCTGAAACCACTAAAAAAACTCGGTACGTATTTTTATAGGCTTGGATGCAGTAGCAGTTGATCTGATACAACTGGAAATTCCCTCACTTGATCGGATATTATTATTTTTGCAGGTCAGAATGCATCTCAAGAACAGCGAGTGTCCGTTGCTGACCGAGCCTATTCTGGCAGAGCTTAGGAAGAGTGGCATCAATACTGTGCTGGCCTTTCTGTCCAGAGACTCAGAGACACTCATTCACGTATGCAGCCTAACATACCAGGTCAGTATAACTGTAAGTAAATTTTAATCTTGCAAAATGTCATTTTTGGCCATGTTGCAAAAATCCATCCACAGTGCTGGATGTCTTCATGGCACGAGTTAGCTCAACCATGTACCTACAGGCTTGGGCTAAACTCAGCATTGTTTGGAATATATTTTGCAGTATGTTTTGGAAGTTTTTGCCTTAAATTACTTTTTCAGCATCACCACTTCCTGAAAAAAGTGTCTCACAATGTGCCGAAGTAATGGGTGGTGATCTGGAACAAATGCTGGAGTGCTTTTATTTATGGTATACATGCTGCCCTGATTTTTTGCTGTATTTTGCTGCTCTGTTAGGCCACTGACATAATGTAACACTAATTTTTCCCAGTCCAGCTTGTTAGTTGGAAAATGGAACTCAGGTAGTGCAAAAAAACATGAGATTGATATGTATGGAAGCTGCTAGTGCTTGGCTATTATTTGGTCCCAGATAGTGATCTTAGAAATACCCATATATCTGTTAATGTTTAGCTGTCCATCTCAGTGTGCATGCATGTGCCCAGTGCTCAAAGCAGTACCCAGGATCTGCCCCCAGGATTTCATAACCATAGCACTTTATGAGATTGTAGGCCCATCCTTAGGATCCAGGCATATGTGTTCCTGTATACCTTTATTTTTCTGTTGTGTTTTACTGTGTAACTTTTTAGCAGTGTAGCTTGTTTGACTTATCACTTAGACTCTGAACAGTTGGTAGGCTTTTCATGTTGCAGGAAGCAGTGTCAGTAAAGAAGGTGCTGCTTGCCAAGTACTCTGCTTTACCCCACCCTCTGGATGAGATTCTGGATGAAGCACCAATTGCACATCTTCCATTAGGCTGTGAAAGGTATGGTATGCACCAGGTATTCACATCATCACATTTTCCTCAAAGTTGTCTTCGTAGAGTGTAGCTGCAATATAATTTTTGAGTGAACATCAAATGACAATGGATGTCATGAATGCATTGTTTGTGTTGGAAAAATTTGCTGGGTTAAGGTTTGTTCTGTGGTCTGCAACAACACTCTTTTGGAACTAAGTCAAGTAATAGGAGTATTCACATCTAGGCACAATGCATCAGAGTTAAACAAGATGTAATGGACCTGCCAACACATGACAGTCGTCAGAACCCATTATTTTGTAATTTAATCATCAGAAAATGGACAGGATGAGCACAAATGCATGCCCTTCAGCATATTAGCATGCTCAAATTGTGTGGTGACACTCAGGGTCCCAGTATTTTTTCCATGAGAGAGTTACATCAGCACCAGAGCACACCAACTCAAGACCATACAATTTTGGAGGGAAGAATTTGCTCTCAAAGCTGTTCTTGATAGGCTGTTAGGAATATTACAAGTTTTGTAGTCATTTTGGTGAAAGAGTGAATCTCTGATATAATCCCTATTGTCAGCAATGTTGTGTGATGTCACACATCAGTTTCCATAAATCTACCATCCAAAGGCAAAAAGGCCTAGGTGCCATTAGGTAAAATAACATGTAGGTCTTCTTTGCATTTGGATAACAGAAGTGCACTACCTGCAGCTCCTGACCTAGGCAAAAGGCATAAAACTGTTCCTGGATGGCTGGATAAGAATGGAGTGGTTCTGTTACATCAAAATAGGTTATATGTTCCCCTAGAATATTTCACCATTGCTTCTTTATGCTTTGCAATGTCTGTCAGGCCTTGTTGGATGCAATTGGTTTTGCTGAAATGTTTTCTTGAATGCTTAAGTATTCTGGGGTGCACAGTCATTTGGATTTTGGTGCTGCTACTTATTTGCTTTATCAGCAGTCGGGAACCATTTATGTATTACCTGAACCCTTCCCTCATTGGAAGAAGCATAACCTTCTGTCTTTTTCACTACCTAAGTACCGCTGTGCTGTAAAATATGCCCATGCTAAGGTGCCCTGAAGAGAAGAAAAAATGTGTTATTGCCTCGTTTGATCGACTTCACGAACCAACTACCCTAAAGTTTGGGCAGAAGATGAACATCATCTGCAGGTCATTATAGACTCGTTTGAAATCGGTAGCACAATCGTTTCTACGTGATGCAAACAGTGCCAAAATGTCGAGGCTAGCAAAGGTTAAGTTAGTGTATGACTGTCACCCAATTAAAGACCACATTGCCTACTTCCCTTCAAAATTGTTGGCAATTTTCAAGTTATTTTATACATAGTAGCATTCACGGTGTAACTCATTGGCGAGAATGGCCGCTTGATGGCGCCCGTATCGACATGCGGGCCTAGCGATGTGCCCTGTGCTGCATACCACTCGTTGGTTTGAACTTGCGTGATACGTGTTGTCTGCCTGAATAACTACAGACAGCGGACAGCCCTAGTATTGAACAGTTCTTGCAGAATTCGATGCATCTGTAGTCTTCATGTCATACAACCCCTGATCTGTCTCAAGCAAATGACCCTCGGCTGACGCGGTTCGCTGCTGGTACACAGCTTGGACCGGCTAATCAGCTTCACCAGTTAATGGGGGGGGGGGAGAGGGGGGCAGGAGTTTGCTCGACCTGGGTCCTCGCATTCTTCCACTCCTTCCGACTCCCTTGAACTGTCCGCAAGGTGGCGGTGTGCCCACACGTGTTATCTGAGCTGTCTCATCTACTCTAATGCCCTGTCCTCGGTATTCCCCTGAGATAATGTTATCCGTTGCACGTCCGAAGCTCGCGCCACTGCCGTGCTGAGGCCGGTCCAGGCACGTCCTCCCGGCCAGCGCTGTCCACTGCCTATCCGCAGGTGATGGGGCTGCTGTGTCCTGTCAGCACTGCCCGCCGCCGTGCTCTTAGTCCCGCTGGCAGTGCGTGTCCTCACGCGGCGCCGTGTACCGCGCCTTGTCCCCAGCCTGGACGGTCTGCTGGGCGGAGGCCTGTCCGCCGGAGATCTGGTGGAGCTGTGTGGCCCGTTTGCCGTCGGCAAGACGCAGCTCTGCATGGCAGCCGCCGCCGCCGCCCTGGCCGCCGGCGCCCGCGTCATTTTTGCTGACACCAAGGGCGAGTTTAGTTCCGCCCGCTGCCGCCAGATTCTCCACCACCGTCGTGTCCCGCATTCGGTGAGGTCCCACGGACTGATGGAAGCTATGATGCATGGGTTGAAAAAACATGAGTGATGCAAATTCGCCACTAAGTTGATCAAAGACATACTGTCAGGTTCTATTGTGCGGGTTACCGTGTATCGTCGCCGCCGCCAGCCGGCAGTAGTGTGACCGCCTGCTGTCGGGGTTACCGTGGTAGGAGTGTGACCGTCTGCTGTCGGGGTTACCGTGGCAGTATTGTGACCACCTGCTGTGAGGTTACCGTGGCAGTAGGGTAACCGTCTGGCCTTGGGGTTGCCATGGCAGGAGTGTGACCACCTGCTGTGGAGTTACCGTGGCAGTAGTGTGACCACCTGCAGTCGGGGTTACCGTGGCAGGAGTGTGACTGCCTGCTGTTAGGTTACCGTTGCAGGAGGGTAACTGTCTGCATTTGGGGTTGCCGTGGCAGGAGTGTGACCGCATGCTGGACCGGATGCAGTACGCGGCGTGCAGTACGGTGCGTGACCTGCTGAGCCTGCTGGAGGTGGTGCGCAGCCGGCGACGGCTGCACGCCGGCCTGCGGCTGCTGGTGGTAGACTCGCTGGCCGCGCTAGTGGCTCCCCTACTGGCCTCGCCCGGCTTCGTCGGTAAGGTTCAGGGACGACCTCCTGACGGTAGCGGCCGTTCAGTACGCTAGGCCGGCCTGTCAACATCCATGTGTTTAGCGTGGAACATCACGCCATCGTCGCTGGATTTGATACCTCATATTTACCCTCATGCCGTGATGGTGGTCTGCTGTCGTGATGCTCATTGGAACACATTTGATTCAGGTTTACCCATTTGATCCAGGAAAACCCAAGCGTAATGGTGTCAATCTACTCATGTTCTTATGGGAAGCATCTTAGTCACCATGACATCTATTTGCTGTAGCAGTTTTCACTTCACACGCGGGTGCCAAGACGTCCGTCAAGGTCACACAGCTGTAAGGAAATGCGCCCGCATCGCATACCTGTGATTGCTTCGTTATATAACAAACTGTAAATGGGGTGGTGCCTAAAGACGTCAGTATCACAGTGGTGAATGGAAAGTCACTGTCCGGTGTAACTGTTCGTTAGGTGACCCTATCACTATGCATGGTCCATTTCTGCCACTTCCTGTCATCCCCTGGCCTCTTCCGTCTCCCGTTCACCCCTCCATTCTTTCTCTGCCTCTGTCTTTCTCCGTTTCACTCCCATTCTTACTCACATACTCACCCAATTTCCTGACCACCTTCCTTTGTTTTCCCCACTTCCTTTTCCCAGCCTGGATCTCCCTTTCCGTCTCCATCTCCATTTCTTTACATTTCTGTGCCTGAGGAGTAATAACCTGCATCATGACGTAAGCGTGACAGTATTGTGGTTATTTCATTCACTGGGAAACAGTGGTCTACCATATTGTTTGTCGTCGATGATAAGCGGTGTGATTTATCTTTTGCATCAAAAGCGAAAACGTGTCTGTTTTCCAGGGTTCGGCCTCCTGAATTTCCTTGGCACCACGCTGAAATCATTGGCTGCCGACTGCCGTCTAACAGTTGTAGTGACCAATCACGTGGTCCAGAACGAGTCCGGGGCGGCGCCTGGCGTGCACCCAGCGCTCGGATTGGGCTGGCTGCCCGTGCCGCACGTCAGGCTCCTCCTGCATCGTGAGGTTGCAGCCAATCACGCCTCTGAGCCACAGTTCTGTCTTTACGGCCCGCGGCGAACTGCTATACTGACCAAGAGTGTGAGCTCAGCCTGCGGGGGCAGCGCGGAGTTCCTGGTGACGCCTTCGGGAATTGAAGATCCGGTTTGCCTGAGAAATGAAGACTTGATGAGTTAATTTTTAGTATGTCAGTCTCTGTGCCTGCAGCATTGTGCATTGTGGCGAAGTCGTTTTTTAATCATTTCCTTACCCTTCAGCGGTCTGCTTAGGCAACGAGACAACCATCTTATGAAACATCTTGTGATATTTGTACCTGAAGTGTATGAGCGCTAGTTTACCCTGCTGGAATGTGCATTTGGAAGTGTTCGTAATAAAGTACTGCCGAAGTTTTAACGCGACTTTGTGATGGTTATGCGTTAATCTATGTTATGCTCGACGGTGCATCGTGGCGTTCTTTATATGCCACTTGTTTTGTGATTGCTAAGCCCAGCCGGTCTGCAAGGCCAAGCCCACCGAAGTGCAGAAGGCCGCGTGACCCGCGCGGGCATTCCTCTGTTAGCCACCATCGCAGCTGCTGTTGGTTGGCCAAATACAGAGTGTCCGCGATGGGATGGCGCCGAAGAAGCAGCACATCGCCGATGAGCGAAAGGTCATGGCTCCTTCGAGGAGGCCGTTGGAAGGTCGCCGTTTCACTGCTCTTCGTAGTCGCGTTGGGCGATCAGAGCCGAATACGAAGCATGGCGCCGGCGGCAGTGTGGCCGCATAGTGGTGGCCTCTATCAAACAGTGCTCTGCGCGGGCAAGCACGGACCAGGAGCGGATCTACCCTGGAGTTTTTTTTTGGGGGGGGGGGAGAGCCAACCGTTCGTCGCCAGCTGGCTGGTGTGGGGTCCGAGGTTCAGTGCACTTATCAAACACGATGTTTGCGCCGAGTATGACTAAGCCGCGTCAACATGCGTTTTGTTTTGATATTCAAATCACTTCCAACCGTTCTTCATAAAGTTTTTGTTTCCGAAACGGAAAGAGATGTTTGATACCGCACCATCAAAGTTGAAAACAGACGGTAAGTAGACGAAACTTTTATGCAGTTCTGGGAATGTTTTTGGGGGGCTAAAACATACTCTCAGAGCTTCTTGGGGGGCATGGCCCCGTGCCCCCCTCCCTCCCTCAGGATCCGCACATGGCCCGGACTGCCGGTGATGGGCCAGCGTCTCCGTACCTTACGTCGCCGCTTAGTTATGCGATCACGCTGCGATACGCCCTTGAAGATTTAGTGGCGGAACTCACATTGGGACCTTATTAGGCCAGTGCGTAAAGTTTTGCTAAGAAATTTGTATGGCCCTGCACAACATCAAACAGAAATGGTATGCTCCAGGACCACATGCGATGCCTCAGGTTTTTACAGAGGTGTTGGTGGTTCGTGCATGACATCCGATTTGCGTTGCCCCTGCTTTGGAGTCAAGTTTTTTGGTCGTGCGTAAAGAACGAGTGCGTCAATCTGATGAATTGATGGTGATCATGATAAATCACAGGTTTCAAAAGTAATATTCGGATGACAAGTTTATCACAAGGGGTTAATCGATCTCTGTTTGGATGGGACAATCAATGTCACTGACGACGGAAGCCCCGAGGTGACATGGGCGTGGGGAGGCCTTGTTGCGTCGTCTTTCTTTTACACTGACGAAGCGCGAAACTAATGCGATGTTTCTCAGGATGATGATGTTGAGTCCTGTGCCCTCGTTACGCTTCTGCCGCCCTAGACCCACGCTCCTTGACCACAGATCAACTGGGTTGAGCGTGCGTGTTGCAGCTAACCTAAGACAACCTTGGCGGCCATCCCTCCACACTTCATATTTTCACGTGCAAGGAAACATCAGAAGTGCAACTGGTTACCGTTCAACAGTTCCAGAAAGTACCCTGGCATGGCGCCATGAGATCGATGAATAGTGCAAGGGCACAAAACGTTTCAAGTACAATTCGCCGTGTTTTTAATGCGCACCCCGTATGTTTACACCGAACCTTGCCTGCATTAATCAGCTGCGGCGTACGCGGCGGACACGACAAAACCGCCCATCGCCGAAGGTCCACGGGCGGCTGCAGGGAGAAGTCGTAAGAGTTGTTTTGCATTTAATGGTGCAAGAGCGTACGTACGTGTAGGGTATTTCGGATCAAGTGGAGGGCATGGCAGTTATCTGTATTCAGAAGCTGGCTTTGTCCATTAGTGGAAGCGTTTCTTGCGAGTGATTCGATACCGAACCGAGCTCAACGTGCTTTGATTTGGTTCTGCCTGATTGCCATCACCGTTGCTGAGGGAATTCAGCTTGATGGGTGATAACCAAGCCTTGTAAACAAGCCTTGAGTCCTTTTCTTGTACCATGAATCAATTTTCATGTTAATCATTGAATGGATCAACAGAACATGTGATGCCAAGGATGATTCTGTAGACATACAAATGGGAACAAAGTTCAAAGTTGAGTGATTGTCAGGCAAAAATGTCATGCTCTAGACCTCCTCCTTCCAGAATGAAATGGTTTCTCTGCCCTACTACAATAGGTTCCATGTGTCATGTTGTCACAATCATCAATAATTGGAGATCTGCCGCACAGTTGCAGATAATGTGGTATTTGTTCCCAACTGTGTGAAGAGAAATGTAAAGCCCAGGCAGTTTCTTAGCATGCATTTTCCTTTGTTGTATTTTGTATTCAGGTTTGTGTTCATCAAGCTCTCAAAGTCAATATCTCAAACATTAGAGCAATGTTTGCTGTCACTATTGCAGGAAATGCCATCTAGTACCTACACAGTTTATTCTTGGTGCATAAATGTCTTGATACTTGTGACATGTACCTTGCACCTTGTTCATCTCAGCCTTTAATTTTGTATTTAATTTTAGATTGAATGTTTGCTTAGAAAGCATGGTATGCATCCTGCCAACATGTTTGTGAGATAGAACTTTTGGTCAAATGCACATAACTTACATGCACTTCTAGCATATGTCAGTCAGTGGTTCTCTGCTGCATGAAATGCCAGTCTCTGCATCTTCTATCGCTATGCATCATAATTGCAGCAATATAGGGGTGTGGTGCTCATACTGTAAAATGGTCCATTGCATTTGGAATTTAAGCAATGTTTGTAACTCGTGACAATGCAATGCATAGAAGCAAGTTTGGGTATAATACCTTGCACAGCTGGGCATGGGTGAGGTGGCAACAGGTGTGTTTGTCATCATAGAGCTCATGCCAGGTCTAACCTAATGGGTTCAGGCACTTGGGAACACACTGTTACATGTTTGATCAACATTTAAGAAAGTTCATCCTTCATGAGAGCCTGGTAGGGAAGTACATGCTGATGTAGCATTTGCTTATGTTGCTAGAACATTAGTTGGCCATGGATCTTGCTAGGCCTGGCCCAGAATTTCAGTTTGGAAATTGATATGTTTGCGGCAATTTACAGTTTTGGTGGCTATAAGCATATCATCTTTAAAAATGGAAATATCACATTCTAGTAGAGCCATACAGGCTGTGCAGCTTGCATAGAAATTTGTTATGTTATCTTTGTCCTGACAACTTTTTAAGACTTCCTTCCATTTTAGAAAAAAATCCCTGAAGCTGTGATATTTATGGCAAAAATTTTACCCCTTCAAAAATGTGTTGCCCTAGCTAAGCCTGGCTTTTGAAGTGAAGCAGGTTACCAGTGCTCAAGTAAAGCTAACTCAGCTTGTAATGGCAGCTAGCCAAACATTTTGTAGCATTCAGTCACCCAGCCCAGCCAGCCATGATTTTAGTGGGCTTTCCTTGCAGCTGCTCTCCATGTTTTGTACCAATTTCAGCACTAAGGAGTATGCATTTTTCATGTTAGGATGTTTAAATTGCAATTTGTTTCTCAATAGGCATGCCAGAAGACAACCAGGTGATGGCCAATTTTTCCCCAAAATTTGTGTTGCATTTTGAGACCTGGCTTTGAATACTGCATGGTGGGGCATAAACTGAGAGAATCTGGGTCACAGAGACCACTCTGACATATGACCTGGTTCACTGAGGCCAGTATCCAATGAGCAAAGAATGCATGCTTTGCAATACTTCTGTCACCATGACTGAAAAAGGAGAGCACTATCAGCTTGGCTGTCTTTGACCCTAATATTCAGTTCTTGCAAAATATCACTCCAGCCATTTTTAGGCAAAACTGCTTGTGAATGCACTTGCAAACAGCATTGGTTAATGAAGGTTTGCAGGCTCAGCCTCAAAGCATTCTCAGTTTCCCATCTGATTTAATTATTATAATTACCTAATATGATGTCCTTGTTGTGCTTTAATCAGAAACATGTCACATTTGTATTTCAGTGTCTAAGTGAGGTCCAGAAAGCATTATATTAAATCCACAAGACATTGCAGGCATAGGGTCCATCTTTAAACACAAGATCTGAAGAAGAAACCTGCAATAAATAATAAAGATGGAGCAGGACAGTGAAACCAACATTCCTGTAAGCTTTCAACTTGTACTGGCTGATTGGTAATGTGTTTGAAGTGCCATATTGTGAATGCTGTATTTTTAGTATTTTTCCCATTTGTTTACATATTTGGAATAATAACATTTCCTTTTGTTTGCAGAGGAATACATTGTTCCTCAACACCTTGTGATGCTGTGCCAGCATATTGCTTCAAAATGGTTCATTTTGCTGAATGAACCATATTGCATCACACTGTCTCATGTTGTCATCAGTCATCCAAGCATGTACTAGCATCTGTCTATCCACCCATGTCTGTGTGCTCGGCCGTCAGCCAGTGCTGGCATGTGATCGGCGGGGAGCGATCGATTGTTGCCTCCCCTGTCGCAGGTATCGGACGCCGAGCTGAGCTGCAACACGCCCACCCTCGGCTACTACTGAGCCCGACTACTACCTGGACGTGGCGACGCCCATGTACAGCTACATCCAGGACGACCTGCACTACATGAAGAAGCCCGTGCATCCGTACGACAAGAAGGCCGGCCAGAAACACTTTCATCTGCCCGAGGGTACGGCCCCGGCCTGATCTCTGGCTGCAGCGTATTTTGCGCCGCTTGATGATCATTGCAGGTCGACAGCTACCCCGCAATGTGTCTTTCTAACACGTGCTCATTCTCCCGCGTGACTTTCCTTTGAAGCGGTTTCCGGTGTTGGGTGACAGACCCCGTGTGCTCTGGTGCCGAGCTGACGTCGGCTATCGCGTGAACCGACCTGTATGATGGATCCAACCGGCATTGGCGCCGGGACACAGCCCTCGGCACCCCCACCGGCCCCCGGCCCCCCGACTTCCCGGCTCCCAAGGCCGTGTCCCGACCTTGGCCAGCGCTTGGTCGCGCTGCACCACCTACGACAAAAACTAGCTGCCAGCCGTCCCGGACCCGTCCGAGCGGGTCCGACTGAGAGCGACGGAAGACCGGACTACTCACACGTCCACACAGACATGTCTGTATGGTCTGGCGGTCGGCAGACCGGACCACTCAAACGTCCAGACAGACATGTCTGTATGGTCTATCTAATGGTTGCACTATCCTGTCCGTGACCACTGGCACCGGCGCGTCCTTGTGTGGCACCTTGACCTCGCCGCCGTGACGCTGTTCCCCCGCGTCCGACAGACAAAACGCGAGCGGCCGGTGCGCACGGCGGCCGGGCGCGGCTGGCCCCGCGGCCCGGCATGCTCACACTGGTGGACCAGCTGGCGCAGCGCTCCATGTACGAGACGTTCTCGCGCTCTCGCTCGCAGAGTCCGGGCTCGGCCGTCAGCAACGACGAACCCATCGAGCTGGCCCACTTCCCCGACGCCAAGGTGAGTGTGGGCCGGGCCGCGCTCGCCGCCGCCTTCTCACGCTCGTGCCGGCGCATGCGGGCGTCGCCTGGTGTCTGGTCGTTTCCGGCGGCGCGCTGGCCATTGTCGGTCGCGTTACAGCGGCGGCCGTACGCCAGTCGTTGCTGCCGGCGCTCACGTGCTGAGATGTCGTATTTTTTTCTTGTGCTGTGATGAGTATCACACTGGGATACTGCAGTGGTGATAGAGCCCGTCGCATAAAGGCTGCTATCCGCCGCGGAAAGTTGAAAAGTTTAACAGCTCTGCGCACGGTGGTATGTTCGGGCTCTATCATTGGCGTGTCTTGAGGACGCTTTAAGGTATTTGCAAATGCATTGGCATGGTTCAAGTTGTGCGTGCACGTAAACTATTAAGATCAGTCTTCCTGCCGAGCCTTTTACGATAGGGTTGTCACGGGTTTTGTTTCACTTCGTAACGTAATATTTAATTGACCGGCTCCGTCGTTGCCGTTGATGCTGTTGCGACTCTCGGTTATTGGTAATGCACGCTGCGGTGCGCATCTGTTCTGTGTGACGTAGTATTGCCGCTCCGTACCGTCAGGTTCTGTGACTGGCGGATTATCGGATCCTTTAGGAGTCTTGCTGTGTCTCCAGTATCTCGCACACGAGCTGTGTGTTGCCGATCCGTCACCAACGCACCGCCGCCGCCACCGCCAGGCGTGGGCTCCGTCCCTGACCCCCACCCCAACCGCGCCCCGCCAGGTGCCGAACCCGTCGCTGCCGGCGGCCATTGAGCGGGACGACTTTCCGGCCCCACCGTATGCTTACGCCGACCCGGAGCGGCGGCGCCGGCTCTCCAGGCCGATCAGACGACGTCGTCAACGACGAGGACGAGGTCGACGCCGAGCGGGCCGCCGCCGAGGACCCGAAGCTGAAGGTTGGCCGACGCAAACCGGGGCCGACGGGTGTCAAACTGAGGGTGGCTGCGTAGCCTGAAGAGGTCCAAGGATTTCAAACCAAGTGTGGATTTGGTGTGCCCCATTTCGAGATTCGTCCATGGCGGGAGTTCTTATATGCACGTTGGGAGCAGCACGAGCTGTGTTGACTTGGCTGACTTTCATGCGGTTCGATTGTCATAGGTTATACCGAAATGGTCGGGTGTGCTCGGGTCGCATCAGCCGGACTTTGCTTGGCTGCGTAGTCTGGTCCCTTTCACGTGTGCCATGCCCGTTTGCCGTGATCGGCGTGGTCCTGCCGGAACCGGGACAGAGCGCCGCACCTCTCGCATGCGCCGACCGCGCCCGTCATAGCCCGGACGCCACCTGCCGTTGCTGACTCGCCGCCACTCGGCGTCGGCAGAAGGAGGAGGCGGAGCTGGCCAAGATCGCCTCTGGCATGGGCCAGGTGTTCCTGCACGACCTGCAAGCGCGCCAGCACCAGCGGCGTCAGCAGCGCGCCCACCCGGACCCGCGCAGCACCTCACGGACGCCTTCGGCCGACCGCGAGCCGCGCTATGGCATGCGCTACCAGAACCCAGTCAACGCCTGTCAGTGGCGCCGCCCTAGGCAGGGGGCCGAGGGTGGAGCTGGGATGACGGGATGGAAATGTGGGGTATCGAAAACGAAATTCGATTTTGGTATGTGCAGTTAGACTCGAATATCTGTTTGGTCTTCCTCCAATTCCAGTTTCTGCTTTGGCGTCTCTGTTTGCAATGATTGCCTAACGGTAAGCTCTTAAACCATCTTCGCTATGTTGGAACTATTTCGCATTATCTGAAAAGCTGATCTTGTTCCTCTGGGCGCTATCCGGCTCCGGTGAAGCGCGAGGCTGTGTACTGGTCGGTGTTCGGTATTGATGCGCGGTCGGCGGCTCCGCCCTGACCGCGGCGACGCGCGCCGGCAGCTCCATCCCGTTTCCTGCACAACCGGAGCCTGGACGAGGAGCTGTTTTACTACCGGTACCACGGCTACCCGCCCGTCGGCTGGTCGGCCCGCGGGCACGCCACGCTGCCGGCCGCCTACAACAGTACGTATGGCTGTCGCGGTGGCCGCCCGGGACGAGGGTGCCGACGCTCAGCCAACTTGGCTCCAGCCCGGCGATGGGGCCTGGCGCTGTCCCCGGGAGCTGGTGCTGTCCCCGGGAGCTGGCGCTGTCCCCGGGAGCTGGCGCTGTCCCCTGGGAGCTGGCGCTGTCCCGGGAGCCGGCCCTGTCCCCGGAAGCTGGCGCTGTCCCCGGGAGCTGGCGCTGTCCCCGTGAGCTGGCGCTGTCCCCGGGAGCTGGCGCTGTCCCCGTGAGCTGGTGCTGTCCCCGTGAGCTGGCGCTGTCCCCGGGAACCGGTGCTGTCCCCGTGAGCTGGCGCTGTCCCCGGGAGCTGGCGCTGTCCCCGGGAGCCGGCCCTGCCCTCGGAAGCTGGCGCTGTCCCCGGGAGCTGGCGCTGTCCCCGGGAGCTGGCGCTGTCCCGGGAGCCGGCCCTGTCCCCGGGAGCTGGCGTTATCCCCGGGAGCTGGCGCTGTCCCCGGGAGCCGGCCCTGTCCCCGGAAGCTGGCGCTGTCCCCGGGAGCTGGCGCTGTCCCCGTAGGTGACGCTGTCCCCGGGAGTCGACACTATCCCGGGAGCTGGGGCTTTCCCCAGGGGTTGGCACTGGCGGCGGCCTGGGCACAATCCTCTGACCGGGGCCCGATTACTGCTTGGGCTTAGCTACGGAGACCTAACTGACACTCAGACAGGAGGGCTTGGCGGGTACGGTCGGTGGGGATCATGGCTTGCTTGGTGACGAGTGGGCTGAACTAAACCGTGTGAGACTCGCGGGCCGTGCTGATGTGCGTCGTGTGATGTCATGAGTGGTAGTCAGCTAGCTTATAATGTCTGCCGTCTGGTCTCGTGGGGTGCTGAGCTGTTTCGGGACGGAGATTGAGCCTGCGTTCCACACTGTAGCAGTGACAATCGCATTGCAATGTTGGTAGACATCCCCCTCCTCCTCCATTCAATCAGAATGATCCTCAGTAAACGACTGTGGGGTAGTGTAGTGTATGGGGTACCTGCAGTGTTGCGATAAAGCTACGCGTCAGGGAAAACAAAGGTACGGGATTCGATTCTCGATCCGATTCGATTCGATTCGATCCTGCCCTTTCTATAAGGGTGAGATGCAGACAACGCCCTATAGCCTCAGCAGCCGCCTGTGTTTCTGCCTGGCCGTCCGCATGCGTGCCGCCTCTGACCCTGCTGGGCGGTCCGCCTGTGTGCCGCCTGTGAGTTTGCCGGGCCGTCCGCCTGTGCGCCGGTTCTGACCCCGCTGGGCCGTCCGCCCGTGTGCCGCCTCTGACCCCGCTGGGCCGTCCGTCTGTGTGCCGCCTCTGACCCCGCTGGGCCGTCCGCCTGTGTGCCGCCTCTGACCCCGCTGGGCCGTCCGTCTGCGTGCCGCCTCTGACCCCGCTGAGCCGTCCGTCTGTGTGTCGCCTCTGACCCGCCGGGCCGTCCACCTGTGTGCCGGCTCTGACCCTGCTGGGCCGTCCGCCTGTGTGCCGCCTCTGACCCCACTGGGCCGTCCGCCTGTGTGCCGCCTCTGACCGGCCGGGCCGTCCGCCTGCGTGCCGGCTCTGACCCTGCTAGGCCGTCCGCCTGTGCACCGCCTCTGACCCCGCCGGGCTGTCTGTCCGCCCGCCTGTGTGCCGCCTTTGACTGCGCCTGACCGCCCGAGCAGACCGCGGCGCCGGCGCGCCGGAGCCCCGCTCCAGCACCTTGCCGGCGGCCGGCCGGTACGGCGCCTATGGTGGTGGCGGCAGCGCGGCCCATTCCCTGACGGTGAGCCTCGCCCCGCGCCGCGCCGCCCCGCCCAGCCGTGACGCCCCACCTCGTTCTAGTGGCGAGCGCGCTGCGGCCGTGCCCCAAGCCCGGCTACGGCCTGGCGCCGAGCGGCTTCGCCGGCGCGTACGTGACCGGCGCGCGCAGCACGCCCCACCTCTCTGTGAGTGGCGGACGGCGCTGGTGGCGCGCCGCCGCACCGCATGACTCAGTGTGTCGCAGCTGAAGACTGGTAGTGGGCTTCGGGCGGAGAGCAGGCCTGGTAGCGGGTGTAGTGTGTGGCGGCAGGTCTGAAGCCTGTAGGTCCTGTTCCGCGGGTGGATCAGAGGTTGGGCTGTTAGTGGTCTCCGGATGGAGCGGAGCCGTCGGAGGTGGTATGAGGGTCGCGACCCTCGCCGCCTGTTCAGGGTGAGACAGTGCGGGACCACATTGTGTGAGAGTCTCAGATGAAATGAAATAGACCGGGTCGGGAATGCAGGCAGAATTCGTACCGTTTTGCCAATCCCAAGTGACAGGGAAGCGCCATCGTCGGTGCCGCCGGGTGTTGGGCGCTTACGAGCGGTGATGGGTGAGCTGCTGGAACCGGCTGGTCAGTGGTGGTGGGACGCCGCTTGTACATGCTCGGAGTGCGCTTCTGAGTGGACCAGCTGGCTGATTCCGTTGTGAGGTCTCGGAGAAACACCAAAGAGCCAGTGTTCACCATCAATGGGTACGCGGGGGGGGGGGGACGTTAAATCGGTCGTGATATGACCAGTTGTCAGGACAAAACTTTGGTTGTATGCTTTGTAGTGTGGTTGGTTGTGGACGCCCAGCGAGCAGTCCCCGGAACGCGGCCTATATGTTGAATCGCGGACTACCGCGCGCATATTCTGAAAAGCGGGTGCAAACGGGTGGCACGTGTTGCCTGGATGTGCAACTAATGCTGAGTTTTGTGGCGCGAGTTGTGTTGGGTTTGCGGTACGACCGCGGCGGTGGATTGCTGAAATGTCCGTTGGTCGTCGAAAGTGCGCTGTGTATCTGGACGGACCGTTGGCCAGAGGCGGCGTGCGCCGGTTGGGCGGGTCATCGGGGCCGCTGCGCGGAATCGGAAGGCGACTGGTCGGGTGGGAGCTGTCTGGTAACAGTCTGGTCTGGGCGGATCACGGGGCCGTGCGCGAAATCGGAAGGTGACCGGTCGGGTGGGAGCTGGCTGGTAACAGTCTGGTCTGGGCGGGCGGGCGCAGCCTGTTCGTCGGTGGGGCTGCATCTGCTGTCGTTAGATTTGGCTGTCGCGATTTACGAGCAGCACGCGTTGTGAACGCTTTCCGTAGCTCGGTGACGTTCCCTTTAAGTGATGTGATGCTTTTTTATTGAGGTATGGCATGATGCGACATGGCCTAGTTTTTGTTGCGTAAGCCTGCGTGGCATGCGGCCGTGAAGCTCCGGACCCTTTTGAATCCGGCTGGAGGAGAGACGTGTGCTGTGTGTCGCTGCATCTGTGTTGCAGATGTTTTGCTGCTCGCTTGGTGCATCGGCTGTGGTGTGACATGTGTTCAGCTCAATTTGTGCTCCAATCGGAGGATGGCTGCTTCTTGAACGGTTGAGCGCGGTCAGACTGTAATGTGGCGGTTAATATGGACGTCAGTCGGTATCTTGTTGGCGACTACCATGCTGCGGTCCTCCGCTGCTGGATACTGGCCGGGGGTCCGTCCTGTTCACTAGCGAGAATGACCTCATGCCCGTGACGTTACGTGGCGTCAGCAATGGGGCCAAGTCGGCCGCCCGCGGCACACCGCCAGAGGCTTACCGCTGCGGTCATCCAGAGGAGAGGCATGCTTCAGTCGGGCCGCGTGCTGAGCTGATGCTCGCGTGCTCTGCTGCCGACTGTTGGGGCTGGCTGGGGCTGTCGACTCAGACTGGCTGGGGAGCTGCGCGTTCTGTGCCCGGCAGGCTGCCGGGTTGTGGCGTTAATCGCCGTGGATCAGCACCACTTAGCGCTCAGCTAAGTAACGTTGGTTGTACTTGGGCCCTGTCAGCGACGTCTGCGCAAGTGAGGGTTTTTTAAGGGCTGCTACATTGCCGGCTGCATCTAACCAGGCTTTTCCGCCGGTTTTCCCGCGTCTGCTGTCTTCCTAAGAATATGCAGATGAGTAATTGTTTTTTTATTCGTAATCTTATCATGGGACGCCGTGACATGTCGTTGAATGTTAGGTATACGTCGGCTGAAACCGGCGCCGTGTCATGCGCCAGCCTCGTACACCATCGTTGCCAGTTGCCAGTTTGTTCTGATGTCGTGGGCCTGTGTTACAGTCGGACGGACGGGACTACACCTTTAGTTCGATCCGTCACCGTCCGTTGGACGGCACACAGTCGGAAGGTAGGTGGTAGGCAATCAGCGAGAGTGAACCCAGTGGTAAGGAAGGTCGAGAGCCCTTTCAGGGTCGCTGACCGCTCCTTTAGTGGGCGAATCAGTGCGGCTAGTTGTGGCGCTCCGGGGCTGGTGTGCCAACAGCTTATCTGGACCGATGTCCAAGGTGTCCGCTTGGAACCAGCGCCCACTGAATGCGGCCGCGTGGTGTCCGCCGCAGACTCTCTGGGCTCGCTGTTGGACGGTGACCGGCTGGCGCTGGGCGGCGGCGGCCGGGACCCGTCGGCTGTCTCGTTCTCGAGCGTGCCAATGCCGCCACAGACGGACCCGCAGAGTCCGTTCTATCGGCGCTCGCGCCAGGTGCCGCTCTACACGCCAAACCCGGACAGCAAGTACCCGGCGCAGCGGCTGCGGCTCGACCGCAACCGCCGGCTGCCTGACGACGTCGACAAGACGCAGCTGGAGGTCAGTGGCGGCCGGCGCCAGTGCCGAGGGGACGTGCGGCCCGGCCGCGGAACCCGCGCCGCCGCGGGAGCGGGCCACCGCCGGACCGGGGAGGGAGCGGAACTCGGACGGAGGAACGGGCGAGCACTGAAAGTGAAAGCACCCTGAATGCGGCTAGAGTCCGGGCGCAACGCGCCCTGTGGTGAGGGCGGACCTCTGGTGCAGGTGTTGATGCCAGAACTGAGTCTGGGTCGAGTAAGGCCAGATCCTGCTTTGCTGTGACCCGGTCTTTAGCTGAAGACAGGCTAAACATAAGGTGTGTTTTTGAGGCTGCGATGTCTTGATTATCCGTGTGATATAGCTGTGGGCCGTCTTTGTGTGTATCGTCAGTGTGTACCGTCACTGCCTTCCATGCCGCAGCGTCATCTGACCGACTGTGTATGGTCACTGCCTTCCATGTCGCAACGTCATCTGACCGACTGTGTATGGTCACTGCCTTCCATGCCGCAGCGTCATCTGACCGACTGTGTATGGTCACTGCCTTCCATGCCGGAACGTCATCTGACCGACTGTGTATGGTCACTGCCTTCCATGCCGCAGCGTCATCTGACCGACTGTGTATCGTCACTGCCTTCCATGCCGCAGCGTCATCTGACCGACTATGTATCGTCACTACCTTCCATGCCGCAGCGTCATCTGACCGACTGTGTATCGTCACTACCTTCCATGCCGCAGCGTCATCTGACCGACTGCGTATCGCCACTGCCTTCTTTGCCGCAGCGTCATCTGACCGACGAGGAGTTCTTCGCCGTGTTCAGGATGAGCCCGGCCGAGTTCTACAAGCTGCCCGACTGGCGCCGCAAGAAACTCAAGAAGGCCGTGCACCTGTACTGAGCGCCGGTGCCGCCGCTCTCCCTCACAGCACGCCGCCGCCGCCGCCACCGTTGCTGCTGCTGCTGCTGCTGCTGATACTACACGGCCCGGTGCCGAGAGCCTCGCAGGCCGCGGGTGCTAGCGCCCAGCCGCCGCGAGCTCACAGAGCAGACCGAGCGCGTCGTCTGCTGGACACCCCGGTAGCCCGCGCGCGCCGCGCGGGCCGCCAGCTGGCAGCTCACCCTCGCTTTCCTTGCTCAGAACACCAGCGGCTGCCCTGGGCGCCACCGCACTGCGCTTCCCGGCGCCAGGCCCGGCTGACGACCCCGCTTCCCTGCTGCGGTCCATCCCAGGGAGCCGGCAGCGTCCTCTTCGTTCGTGTACCAGTTCGGTGGAGGTGTGGGCTGGGCTGCGTATTGGTGTCGGCTGTATGTGTTGGGTGGCCCAGGGTGAAGGCTCCGGTGACGGTGCGGTTAATCTCAATGAAGCCAAAGCGTCAGTACGTTGCTGTGTTCGTGGCATTCCGTTCGTGGCATGGGTTTTGTTTGCTCGGGGCCAGGTGCTCCTTGACCTCTTGAGTACTCCTTAGGCTTTAAAGAGGTATTCCGTTATGTTACGTCGTGTTTACCGTGCGAGGAGGGCTCTTATAACATGTCTCCATTTTCCGCGGTTGTACCCTTGCAATCGATCGTGATGGCCAAGCGAGGTTGTTGTCGAAGCTAGGACAATCAAAATGTACACACCGTAACGTTCCCGGTATTTTCGTCAAAAGCTCAGGTTAGGTACGTGCTGAAACTAGCTCGTTCGACCCGTACCATTGGGCAGAATCTCGACTCGTGCAATGTGCGGTCGTGATGTCACAGCCCGTGTCATGACTGTTCATGACATATGCCAGTCGGCGTGGGGTGACGCTGTTTTAGTTAGTTCACCTTCATGCACGTGCCATAGTTCGTTGCCCGCAGTGATGACATCTTCACACACGTGCCATAGTTCGTTGCCCGCAGTGAGGGCACCTTCACACGTACCATTGTTCACTACGCGCAGTAATGGCACCCTCACGCACGTGTCATTGTTCGGTGCCCGCAGCTGATGGGCTCTCTCCAGACCCACACGCTGTCGCAGGACGGGGACGGCTGCTGCCCACCAGCTGCACCCGCGCGCCATACATTACAGCGCGCCAGTAGGCGTATACCGCAGCGTACACCAGTGCCATAGGCTTCGTCGCGAACCGACAGTCACTGCACGGTGCGCACGTTCACATCCATACCTAGGTAGAAGCCTGGCAGATATGTTCAACATTGCCTTTGTACGCTCATCACCTGCTCGTGGAGCATCGTCCCTCCCGTCCCCCGCGTTTCACGGCAGCCGCTGTGTCGTGCGCCCGTCTCAGCTGTGATCTAGCCGCCCGGCTAGCTGTGGAACTCCCGCGCTCACGTGCCAACAGCTGGCTGTACGCTCCGCGTCGTGCGGCTGCTCCGTTTCTTCCGCCGTGGCCGTTCTTTTAAACGCTATGTCATAGACGTACGTCGCCGCCTTCGCTCCGATTCCCCCGCTGTTTTCTGTGATGGGTGGGTGATGGCTTCAGCGTCGTCCGGCTACTGCGGTCCTGGCGCTGGACGGGCCGCCCCGACCTCGGACCATGCACGCCGCTCCCGGTACCCCGCAGCGAGGGTGGCAGCCGTTAGCCGGTGCGTGGCGGGGACCAGCGATGGAACCCAGCGTGCTCACGGCGCCTGAGGCCCGCACGCGACTGACCTCGCAGGCCGTGGCATCGCAGGCTGCTTCCTCCCCCACAGCGTGATGGACCCGACCGCTCGTCCATTTAATCGAGCTTCGAATAAAGACTCGCTTGTCACCGTGTTTCTGCTGTTGAAACCGAGGCTGGCCTGAAGACCTGCCGGTGTGGTGGAGCGCGGTGCATGGGTTGGACATCCAGTGACCGCAACCGACACTCAGTTCCCTACCCGCCTCAGTGCCAGCGTGCCGCCCAGTTGACCGTCTATGCGTTCACCGTAAAGTAACCTTGGTAACCCGTATGGGAGAAGACTTCAAGTATTTATAAGATTGACACTGATATTGGATATCTTGGATATTGGATTGAAATGATATTTTGGAGAGACATTTCCTGTACACCAAGATAGCGATCAGCTCTTAGGAGCCAACGCCGATGGCTGGCAAGGCTAGCCATAAACATTCCGATGAAGCGCCTCAAGGCACCCAACGACGGGAAGAATACTGGTAAGATCACTTTGGACACCGAGCGAATTGCGAAATGGAGATGAAGTAATTTGAAGATATTGTCCAGCAAAACTTCTTCGTCCGGCCCGGTGATCTCACCAGCGCGTGTTCCATCGATTCGGAGCGCAATGAGCCAAAGGACACAGCTGATTCGGTTGAGAATAGGATATCTCTTACTTGTCGGCGCCGCCCGTTTGGTCTTTCCATGAGCACGCATGCTAACATAACGAAAATTAAACATACATTATGCAGTGTACTTATATAAAAATAGCACCATAATGCAGAACATGCAGCAACCCGGCCGACGCCACAGATGTGCAGTGCGCCACCACCAGGTCAATGCCCACAAACTTCGGGCCAACACACCACAGCGTCAGATCGCGAGACTAGCCGACCGGTTGGCCGTCCACCGAGTCCTCCGCGTCCGCCAGCAGGTCGAACCGGTAGACGACCACGCGGCCGAAGAAGTCGGTGCTGCCGTTGAACACCACCTTGACGTGGGTGACCGGATGGGGGCAGTCGACGTCGAACGTCTGCAGCCGGTTGATGTTGTCCGGATAGAAGGCGTGCAGTCGGTGGAGCTGGTCGGGCGCCGGGCCGGCCTCCAGCCAGCAGTCGGCGCCGACGAACCCGCCCTGGAACTGCAGGCGCAACTGGCGCGGCCGGTGCGGTGCCGACAGCCGGGCGCCGATGTACTGCGGGGTGCCCTGCCAAGGAGTCCAGTGGCAGCAGGGTGTACAGGAGCCATGACCAGGCGCTGGCACCAACTGTCAGGCACACACACACTGCTCAAGACCATCCTCCAAAGCAGCCAACTGCCTAGGATGGTTAGTAAGTAAAGGATGATAGGAATATTATAGGTTAATTTGGTACACCATATTCAAGACATTGACCCAACAAGCAATTGGCCTACATGGAAATACAACTACACTGACCCAACAAGCAGTCAACCTACACAAATATATTTAACTCATAGACATTTCCCCATGTGCTCAGCACCAATGTCACCCTCTTAAAACCACTGCACAATGCATACACATGCCTCCCATGAGCATGTGAATTGAAATGTAATGAAATGTGAAAAAATTAAGTGAAATGAAAAAAAGGACAGACCTGATGTGAATTCCAGCAGGTTTCATCATCATCATCTGTCAGGTGTTGCTTGCCAAACTGTTTCACATCCCTGTTGAGGACTGAGCTGACCGCTATTTTGGCACCAGGTAACACACTGTGTGACATGACCAGCATTAGCTGTGCATCTGAAATGGAGGGGAATTATGGTGAAATCAGTCTCATTTATGAACTTAAGTGTCAAAAGGGAAATGCTTAACAGGAACCTGCTCAACTCTGTGACAGCCCATGTGTGTACCTGAGTAAATGCCAAGAAATGAATCCAGGCTCTTGGGTACCACAGTTAGCCAGCATGCTGAGTTGTCATACATTTGTTAAACATCTTTTTTCTCAAACTGTCACAAACTGCTCACAAATTTTGACTAGGAAATGTTAGTCCCATCAGACCTTCAGATACACAAGAAAATGCAGTGAAGAGCAACAATCCAAGATTTGCAGAGCTTGCAGAAAACAAAACAGAACAAACAAGACTTCCCAAATTTCCAGAAGACATGAACATTTCTACCCAGGCAGTTGCAAAAAATTGGCATCTCTGAAACCATCTAGTGCCCCTGGTCCAGACGATGTTCACCCAGATTTCTTTGTGAGCCTGTGGGCGTCCGGGAGTACCTCTGAGTATGCTGTTCTGAAGATAATTGGCAGCTGGAAGGTTCCCCAGGAGTGGAAGCTTGGTGTGGTCCTGATCTTCAAGCAAGGTTACTGACAGTCCCCAGTGAACTACTACTCATTGAGCATTACTGCTGTTCCCTCCAGGGCATTTGAATCTTTCATCTGAAGTGCTCTAATTATACACTTCATGGAGACTGGACTCCTTCATGCAGCCCAATATGAGTTCCTCCCAAAGAGTTCCTGTAACACCAGCTATAAGACATTAATGAAAAATTGGGGTGCCACTGTTGAGCATGGGGAGCAGGTGGACGCACCACACCTCAACTACAGTACAGCCTTTGGTACAGTGCCCCACAACCGACTGCTCTTCAAGCTCCATGCACACAGCATGCTGCAACATGCTGCGCTGGATCGGGTATTCCTAGCTCATCAGAGGCAGAGTGCGGTCCAGGGTGCAAAGTCTGCATGGATCAATGTCATCAACAGCAGCTAGAAGGATAAGCATTGGGACCAACACTTTCATCAATTTCATGAATAACCAACCTTATCAAGTGCAAAGCATGGTCAAGGTATTTGCAGATGACACCCAGACCCAGGCCCCTGACTGCATCTCCCCTTCAGGTCAACCTGAATGCCCTGGTCAGATGATGGTGGAGTGGATGCTCACTTTCAGTCCACCAAAGTACAAAGTGATGCACTACACCTGCAGCCTGAGCTTGCTTCTTGAACAGCCCAGAAACCAAATCACCCTTGAGCCCACCAAAAAAGATGGTACTAGGAATATTGGGTCTCACCCTCCACCAGCTTCGGTGGCCAGGTGATTTTAAAGGTCATCCAAATGCTAGGGGTCATGAGACTGTCATTCATTAACATCAATGCTTCCCAAATGCTTGCAATGCAAAATTTCTTGCATGCTTTCACTGCTGTACCAGATGATACTACAACATTCTCTGTGTATAGCAACATCATCTGAGGAAGGTTCAGCAAGCTGCTCCAGGAGCAGCTGCAGGAAGTACAGTGATGACTCCAGGGTATTGCTCACCAAGGGAAACACTGCCTTTATCCTGAGACGTGCCAACTCCCCAGCTGCCCTGCTGCACTGCGTGACCACGAGTCATCCTGTTGTCTCAATGAAGACATGGCTGTAGCATATAAAATGCTTCATAGAGGCATAGCACTGTCCATGATGAAGTTCCCAGCAAAATCTAACTCTGAGAAATGACAGGAAGGTGCCAATGGAGGGTGAGAAAGGCTGTAGCTAGGACTCTCATCCATAACAACTCATTGCACAACTAGCACTTATAGCACTGTCCATGGTAAAGTTTGTGGCAAAATCTAACTCTGAGAAGTGACAAGGTGCCAATGGAGGGTGAGAAAAGCTGTAGCTAGGACTCTCTTCCATAACAACTCATTGCACAACTAGCACTTAGCTAAGATTGGAATGTTTTTCCACCTGCAAAGGTGCCATAAACCTCAGTCAAGTAGTTTAAATCTAGGCTCAATTTACACTATGCTGGCATCATGTCCAACATCCCACACCAAACATGCCTAATTGGCTTGTTCAGTTAGCTGGATGGGAACTTAAAGAGACTGAGACTGCAGTCAACAAGTTTTGTGACATTTTAAATTCCAAATTACCATAGGGTAAGATACCATTGGGTAAGACAAGGTACATATCAAAGGTCCCACAACACTGTGGGTCTGGTAACCAATCATTCCCTGCCTGCATACACTGAGGTGCTGAATCTGCAGCTCCCATATATTATATTGCCTATTGACTGCTCATGAATGGTGATTGACCCATTAGCCCTTCAGCCCCTTGCAGCCTTCTTTTGGTATACTATGGAGACCAGGCATGGTAGAGGAACATGGAAGATTTAGCCGCAGGATGGATCCTGATGCAAAGGATGCATTAGTTCTCAGTAGTTAATAATATCTCGAGCTACAGAATTAGGAGTCATTGTATCTACGTACAAGACAACTACTACTACATACAACTACTCATTTCTACCGACGGGCCTCGATCCACGATCATCTCGTTCGTTCCACACTCAAACAATAGCACAAGATCTCGCAGCCTCAGCGACACACGACACGACAGATATCGCGGCGACACGCACATCCGTTTGTCAGCACCCGACACAGAATCTGCTCTCCATGCGTCGCATTTAAATACCTATATATTGCTACCTTATCAATCAGTTCGCGTCTATGCTTACAGTTCGCTCAGCCCGACGAGTTGGTCGCAGGCCTTTCGTCGTTTTTCGCCTCGCTAGGGGGCCTTTCCTGTTAATGCTAACTACAAGGCAATATAAAGTTAGAGCAAAATAATGAAAATAGAAGCAACCTAACACACGCATATGATCACATATAAACACACATATATACGCGCACACACACACACCCACACCCACACACACATACGCGGAGAGACGTGAATCAATCACTGCTTTTATACCACCGCCCACCATACATGACCAATTACGACGCCTCACATTTGTGACCTCGCATTGAATTTCAAAGCATGGCAAACGGCATACACAGTAGCCATATTACTTGGTGGATCAAAAGGAAAACGAAAAGGAAAACGCATGCATACAAATGATAAACCACACTTTTACAAGCCTCAGGTTTGTCATGCATGCTCACGCAGAAGTATGCACTGGCACTATAGTTTTTTTCAACAGCTTGCAAAGGCGTAAGAATTTAAACACTTCGTCAATAAGAACTGGATAATCATTGCCAATTAGCGATTTCATACAAGGTGGCGTTCCATGTGTGACAGATTTCCACAATACGACGTCGCTGACGCGCAAGCAATGGGCATTCCACTAACATATGTTGTACCGTTCGAGGGCATACAGTTTTCACAGGCAGGTCTTGGTTCTCGATCCGTAAGGAACGAATGGGTATATCTTGTATGTCCTAGTCGTAGTCGGCATAGGACGATTTCTTCGCGCCGGTTGATCCTCGTTGAGCAGTCCCATTGTCCTATATTCTCCTTTACCGTTTTCAGTGTTGTATGAGGTCCGTGCCCTTGCCAGGTTTTGTTGAAAGAATTTCTTGTAGCGGAGTGCTAAATCGGAATGTACTCTCTGTAGCCTATTTGGGTTTCAATTATTTCGTTTAACAGCACTGCCGCCTTTGCCTGCGCATCTGCTTTTTCATTTCCCACTGTACCACAGTGACCTGGAATCCACATGATTTTAATCTCGAATCTTTTTTCTGGTAAACGGTCTGAGGTTTCAAAAATATTAATTATCACGGGATGGTTAGAAGCATAATTGCTTAGTGCAGTGACCACCGACAAATAATTAGTGCATGTTACACTTTTCGGGATACCCTTGCTTTCCCCATATTTCACTGTCTGAGATAAAGCCGCGGCTTCAGCAACAAACACTGAACACTTTCCTGGCAGTTTAAATCGAACATAGCTTTCTCCGTGGACGTAGGCACAGCCCATTCCCCCAGTAGTTTTTGAACCGTCCGTAAAAATATGAGTAAAATCAGGGGTATCCGTTCTTAGTTCACAAAAGTCATTTTGCATTTGATGTACATTCAGAGCACTCTTATTTTCATTCGTCAGTTTTTTTTTATTTCGCCCTTGCGTAACTTTCAAGGTGGTATGAAACCTTTCTTTGTCTCTAAGTCATGAGGGAAGTCGAATTCTATCTCGTTACATATGCTTGCCATTCTTTCGTACAGTGGAAAACCAGAGATTCTTTTTATGTACTTCTTTCCGCTTGGTGTAAAGAAGCCGTTTCAGTGGTAAGCCCCTGACAAGGATGATTGTCCACGCCTTGTGCCTTCATGCAGTATCTTTCTGTCAATTCATGTCGCGATCGAAGGGGAAGAATATCTGTTTCGACTTATAATGGAAGGATAGGTGAAGTTCTCAACGCCCCCGTCGCTATACGTAAGCACGCGTGTTGAACACATTCTAATGAATCGATCGCTGTGTTGTTTGCCCCATCTAGGATAGGGCATGCGTACTCCAAAATGGGCCTGATCAGTGCTTTGTAGATTCTTAGGAGGGTGGCTCTATCAGCGCCATATCTTCGACCTGCCAGACATTTCATAATTGATATTCGTGTTAAAGCCCTTGCCTTGGTGTACTCAATATGCGTGTTCAAGTTGAGTCTGGAGTCCAACATGACCCCGAGAAATTTTAATGGTTCAGAGTAAGTCACTGGCTGCTCATAAATCTTGAGTTCCGGTATATTCCTTAATTCTCGCTCCTCCATGAACCGTCTAAAAATAATGGCGCTGCACTTCGGAGGCGAAAAAATAAACTCCCATTTGTATGCCCAGGCAAACACGATCCAGCGTTGTCTGCATTCTCTCGCTTAATGGCAAAATCCTTCTTCCTTGCACCACCCACATTGTACAGTCGTCAGCACACAGCGCGTTGGACATATTTCTGGGGGCATCATTGAAAATGTTGTTTATCATGAGGTTGAACAGAATAGGGAACATCACCCCACCCTGCACAAGTCCATTTTCTTGTTCACATATGTTGGAGAGCACACCGCATTTCACCTGGAAGGTTCCACCATCTGAATAAGACCTTAGGTAATGCATTAAGTGTCCTCGGAAACCAAGTTGGTACATTTTCGTCGGGAGTGCCACCTACGATGTCAGATTATATGCGCTCTTAAAATCAAGGAGAACCGCTAATGTATATTTATGACAGAAAAAACCTCTTCTGACCTTAGATTGTAGCCGAATTAGGTGATCAGAGGTGCATCTTCCCGTCCTAAAAGCACATTGATACTCTGATATCATATTGTTATTCCCTATGTACCATGAGTCTTTTGGCCACCATCCTTTCCATTAATTCGCTGAGACACAACGTCAACTGAATCGGTCTATATGATTCAGGTTTATGGCCCGGTTTGCCAGGTTTCATAATTGGAATAATAGTGGAGTGTTTCCACTGGATCGGCAAGCTTTCCGTACACCATACATAATTAAACTTTTTCAAAACTTCCTTTAACTGATCGTCACTCATATGCTTGCAGCATAATGGATTTTGTCTGGGCCTATCGAGGTGTTTCCACACAATGCAATGGGCTGTTGGAGCTTATCCATGGTGAAAACAGCGTTGCATACCTCATTGCCATCAGAAGAAAAGTTTTGCATTTCTTGTATCAGTTCATTTAAACGATTCCTAGATATTGGTCGGTAGTTCTGGGAAGCACAAGTATTGGAGTAATGTCTTCCCAACACATTTGCTACCTCCTCAGGGTCATCAATAGTAGCACCATTAATGTTCAAAACAGGTAGCGACCCTTGTGACCTCTCTTTTTTCGTAAATCCGCGTATAATACCCCACAGCTGTTGTACAAAAATTTTATAGTTGAATGCATGCAAAAGTTCTTCCCACGAGTTCTTTTTGGCGTTACTAATAACCTGCCTGGCCTTAGCTTTAGCTTGTTTGTATTCCATTAAGTGGACAGTCTGTTGACTCCGTCTAAATCGGTTAAGTGTCCTTTTATGATTTCCAGTAGTCTTTGCACTCTTCATTCCACCAAGGGCAGCTCTATTTTGTTTTCCCGTTTTTCTGAGGAATGGTTTCCGTTGCCACTCTGACTATGGTCTCAGGCATAGTCACAAGGTTGTCGATACGGGCCGTTTTATCAAATCGCATATCATATTTGTCTGTAAATTCTGTCCATTTTGCTTTGTTCGCATTCCACCCATGAAATGTGTGCGGGTTAAGTCCCGTCGTTTCATCCATTTCGAATGTAATATACACTGGAGAGTCATCACTAGAGTGCAGATCAGTGTCAGTACACCATGTCATATACTGACTTGTACTACTGGATGAGAGGGTTGTATCTATGTGTGACCAAAGGCCAGTATTATCATCCATTCTTGTCAGACATCCATCGTTCAAAATATGCAGCGCATGTTGTATCACATGTTCCCACAGTTTACCTCTTTTATCGCATCGGTCTGCGCCCCACATGCAGCGTCGACTGTTGGCATCTGTGCATAAACGGCTGCTGTAACCACGAAATTGAATGATCTAAATCGGGTAATGTTACTGTTTGACTGGGGGGGGGGGGGGGGGGGGGGAAATAGAGTGAACACACACATAATCGCATTCCATTAACCTTCACTGAACAACCCACAGCTTGTAGTAGCGTATTCACACTCATTTGGAAACATGGATAATTGTTAGTAACATGTATACAAACCCCTCCTTGCATTTCATTTATGTTTCAATACCCATGGTATACCGTATAATTAGGCATCCGATAATCATACCTGTCAGTATCATACATGTCAGGAAGAAAATGGGTTTCTCGAAGGCAGATACTGCCAATATCTTTCTTGAGCACTGGTTTAACCTCTGGCCACTTCGAAAGAACTCCTCTGCAATTCCACTGCAAAATGCTTAGGGCCATGCTTATTAACACAATCACATCACAACTCTTCCTGCCCCAAATCCAAACAAGGCCAAACAAGCAAAACAAAAAAACACAACAACAAAGCCCATCACCTCATTGTGACTATCAACATCACAAATATCAGCACCATCTCAAGGATACAAGATAACAATAGTCATTACTGTGGTATCGTGTCCGAGTACTATTTATCAGTAATTGGTCTTAGACGCCATGTACTATGCTGAAGCTCTTCATCTCTATTTCAGACCCCGCATCATGCAGCAATATACAAGCGTTGTGCGCCACCGCACGCCAACGATACAAAGGGCAAGCCGTCACTAAAATATAGGACGGCTACCGTACATGGTAGTACATCGCATCCCCCTGTTCAACATATGTACACTACACACTAAAGGTCCAGGCGGTCGGGTTTCTTCAGAACTCGACCGCAACGGGAAGTTGGGATGTTTGGCGGTTCGTAGTCTGGTACCGCTACTGCTCTGGGGCCCGTCTGAGCGCAGGCAGCTCGTGGAGGTGGGCTGCTTTGCGGTGGCACCGTCCTGGCTGGGGTGGTGTTGTCCAAGCGAGTTGGAGACGGGCTGATGCTGCGCAGGTGTCGCCGGTTCCTCCGATAGACCGCGCCGTTGGCCGCTCTGATGGTGTACGACCTTGGTTCAGGCCGCTGGTCCACGACGGTCACTGGTTCCCATCGGCCGCTCTGAGGGTGCTATACGCGGATGGGTTGTCCAGGACTGAGTGTTGACAGCTCAGTCGCATGGCGGTCGTGGTACGCCTTTTGGGTGGTCTGGCGTTCCACCAGGCGTCGTTCCACGTGGCAGGACGTCGGCCTGTTCTTTTCTCGGTCGGGTCTTCATGGGCAGATTTCCTCGGACTTTCCGATCTTGGAGGATTTCGGCTGGGCTTGGCAGGTGACTGTCGATGGGCGTCGTCCGCAGGGTGAGGAGCGCCATGGGCACGGCACTGTCGCTCTCTAGGGCCTTCTTCATGGCCTGCTTCAGCATTCGGATGGTCCGCTCTATGAAGCCATTGCTCTCTGGGAAGTGGGGTGAGCTCGTGATGTGCTCGATTCTCCACTCCCTCGTGAAACAGGCGAACGACTCACAGTCGTACTGTGGTCCGTTGTCACTCCTGATGATGTCTGGGATGCCATATTCCGCGAAAATTTCCTTCAGAGCATTGATAACTGCTTTACTGGTGCGGTGTTCCGGCATCCTCCTTACGATCGGGAACTTCGAGAAGTAGTCTGCGACGGCCAGGTACGTTTGGGAGTTCAAATGGAAGAGGTTTGTGCCGATGATCTGCCAAGGGCGCGTTGGCAGCTCCATTTGTGTCATCGGCTCATTTTGCTGACTCCTCATGTGCTTTTGGCAGGTTTAGCACTTTGCCGTCTCCCTCTCGATGTCTCTGTTAATGTCTGACCAGTAGACACATCTCTTGCTCGCAACTTGCACTTGACCTGTCCTTGGTGGCCTTCATGTATTTTTTGCAGGATTTCTTCCCCCATCTCTTGGGGGATGACGACCCTCTCCCCCTTCAGGACGAGTCCATTTTCCACCGCCAGTTCATCTTGGCACGACCAGTACGGTCGGAGGGACGGAGGCAGGCCTTTTCGAGACACAGGCCAGCCTGCGACGATGACGTCACGGAGCTCCGTCAGCGTTTTGTAGCGCGACGTTTCTTCCCTCAGCTTTTGGAGCTTTTCGGCACTGAAGTGCACGAGATGGATCTGCAGGTCGAGCTCAATGTGGCTGTTTTCTGCCCGCGGGAGGCGCGACAGTCCATATGCGAGCAGCATCTGCTTGCCAGATTTGTAGGTGATCTGCACGTCGTAGTTTTGCAGATGCATCAGCACCCTCTGAAGTCTTGGAGGTGCTGCTCGGAGGTTCTTCAGTTGGATCATCTCCAGTGGCTTGTGGTCGCTCTCGACGATGAAGTCGCGACCGAAGAGGTACGTGTGGAAGCGTTCGCACCCAAACACGACCGCCAGGACCTCTCTTTCGATGTTCGCGTAGCGCTGCTCGGCTTCTGACAGCGACTTTGAGGCGAACACAATGGGCTTCCCGTCTTGCACGAGGGCGGCTCCCAGGCCTTTCTGCGAGGCGTCGACTTCCACTCGTGTCGACTTCCTTGCATCGAAGTATGCCAGGGTCGTCTCTTTGCAGATTCGGCTTTTCACCTTTTGGAAGGCTACTTCGTGGCCTGACGCCCAGCAGAACTCGGCTTCTTTCTTCAGAAGTCCTCGGGAGTGGTTCTGTTGCATCTGACAGCTTTGGCATGAACGGCGACATGTATGTGATGACGCCCAGGAACTCTTGAAGTTCCTTCTGGTTGGAGGGCGTTGCCATCGCTTTGATGTCCGTGACCTTGTCAGGGTCGGGGTGCGCTCCGTCTCGGCCATACGTGATGCCGTTAAACTTGATGGACTGCTGCTTGATGGCGTACTTCCTGCTGTTGAGCGTCAGTCCATGTTTCTTGGCGACGGTGAACAGGTGGTGGAGGTTTGCATCGTGGTCGGCTTCGTTCTAGCCGAAGATAGCCACGTCGTCTGCGATTCCCATTGTTCCAGGACATTCCTCCAGGATCTGGTTCATCTTGCGCTGGAACACGTCCTGGGACATGGCCAGGCCGAACGGCATCCGGAGGTACCTGTACCTTCCGAACGGGGTATTGAAGGTGGTGGGGAACGAGGTCTGCTCATCCAACGTCACCGACCAATAGCCGTTCTTGGCGTCCAGTTTGCTGAAGACGTTGGCGCCTGTCAGCTGTGCGTCAGCTCCTCCAGCGTTGGTGTCTTGTGGTGACACCTTTTGATGGCCTTGTTGAGGTCCTTCGGGTTGAGGCACACTCTGAGAGTTCCATCGCTCTTCTTGGTGCAGACCATGCTGTTGACCCAGTCTGTGGGCTCTTGGACCTGCTTGATGACACCTGTGGTTTCCATCTCGTCCAGCTGCGCCTTGAGTTGCTCTCTCAGGTGGATGGAGAACTTCCTCTGTGCATGTATCACAGGTTGGGCTTCTTCCTTCAGCTCGATGTGATACTTCCCTGGGAACTTGCCGATCTTGTCGAACTCGTCCGGGTAGATTTTCACGAGGTCCTCAACCGTGTTCACCTTGCTGCCTGTGGCTGTGATCGCACAGTGCAGCGTCACAAGATTTAGCTGGCGGGAGCTTGGCAGTCCGACGATGGCTGGTCCTTCAGACTCCACCACGAAGAACTTGGTTCGGGTCCAGCTGTTGTTGCCAAACCTGCAGGGCAGTTCCATGCATCCATGCTGTTTGATGGTGGTGCCGTTATAGGCTGTGAGGATCACATCTGATTTCATAACATCAGCAGCCCGCAGCATACCTTGAGCAGTCAGGGAGTGGGGGAACATCTGCTGGTACATTCTGGCAGGCAGGGTGTTGCCTTGGACACCAGTGTCCACTTTCAAGCTGAGGTTCACCAGCAGTTTTTGTTTGTCCAGCCTTGTTTGGAGGTATGTGAAGGCCTCATCTCGAGTGTCCTCACTCACTGGGTTTGTTCCTGCTACTTTGAGACTGTTGATGGTCAGCTGACTGAACGGATCATTTTTGCTGATGACATGTACTGACCTGTTTTGGTTGTTTTGTTGTCTGCGGCTTGGCTGGTTGTACCTTTGATGCCTTTGGATTGCTCCTTGTTGGCTCAGTGACCTTGGTTTGCTGTCCCTAGGCTGTACATCTTGAGCCTCCCGACAGACAGTACTCCAGTGGTTCAGCTTTCCACACACCGTACATGTTGAACCCATGGCTGGACACTCTTGTTTGCGAAGATGAGCTTTGTAGCCACATCTGATGCATGTTGTGTTGCCTTTTTGGCTTCTTTGCACATAGTGCACTACTTGGTTGGCATCTTGGGATTGGACGCTCTTCACTTGCTGCACGTGCTGCATGGACGCTTCATATGTGCGACGCACCTCCAGCCCGTTGTCCAGGCTGAGAGTGCTATCTTTGCTGAGGAGCTCTTTTTGAACCTCAGCATAGCATGTGTCAATGATAATTTGTTCCATGACCCTTTCATTGAACTCCTGGTCATCCCTGAAGGCACACTTTTGGGCCTGGAGTTTGCATCTGGATACAGTCATCAAACGACTCGCCTTCCTCCTGCTTCAGGCGTTGGAGGAACAGTCTGGCCACTCTGAAGTTGGTCTTAGGCTCAACTTGGGTCTGAAATTTGTCCCATACCTTTTTGGGATCCTTCTCTTTCTCTGCTGGGAGGCCCCATGAGTTGTAGAATCTCAGGCCTGGCTCTCCCGAGAACAGCAAGATATGGTCCACTTGTTTTTTCATTTCTTTCACTGTGAAAAACAGTTCACCTTTCTGCTTGAAGAGCTTTAGGGCAAGGCTTTGGTCAGCAGCTTCCCAATCCATGTGAGGTACGAGGGAATCAGACATGTTTTGTTTTCTACGGCGATTGCGACGTACGTAACGCGCACTATTGAAGTTCTGAATTTGGTTTATCGCTACTAGATATTTCTCCCCTCCTTTTTAGATTGTGCTGCACTGTGTTCTCACCCCGCTGCCACCATGTGGTATCGTGTCAGAGTCTTAATTATCAGTAATTGGTCTTAGACGCCATGTACTACGCTCAAGTTCTTCATGTATATTTCAGACCCCGCGTCATGCGGCAATTTACAAGCATTGTGCGCCACCGTACGCCTACGATATAAAAGGGAAGCCGTCACTAAAATACAGGACGGCCACCGTACATGGTAGCACATCGCAATTACAAATATAAGTGGAAAATTATGTCCCCTCGTCCCACGACCTTCCGGTAGTAGATATTGCACAAATTTTCTCCAGGGATCTGCCCCTTCTTCCAATGTTTTAGGAAGCTAAATATTTATAATTTGTGCCATTAATATTTATCTCATGTCTCTTGCCTTTCTTGCTCGTGGTCTTGTTCTTACTTTTGACTTTCTTCCATATGTCCTCTTGGTCTGCCTCTTGCTCCTCTTCCTTCTTTGTTACTTGCTCACTTCACCGCATGTTGTCCCCTCATTTATATGCACCATCTCCTCACTCATGGACTCATCACGTGTCTCCCTGTCTGCCTCAGTTTGCTGACTGCTCATCATGTGAAATGATTGTTCCCTTGTCTGACTGAAGCTGTTTGGCCATCTTTGCAAGCATAGCTGTCATCTCATCTGTCTATTTCTCCAATGTTTCCACCTTCTCTTTCAATTCCTCTCCTTTTTGTTTTCAGTTGGGGCACATGTCACAGTGGAGCATTGACCTATACAAGTCTAGACACCCTACTCCCATTGGCGCGGCAACCGACCGGTTGTTCCCGTCTTGCGACACTAGCGCCACCACGCGGAGGGGGGCAAGAGTTAGCTTCGCAATGATAATCCTATGGCGGATGGCCGACCTTCGGAGGCGTGTGATTGGGAAATGATGGGAGCGAGGGCCTCCAAAATTCTGGGGCTGTTCAAGACATCAATCTTACGCAATATAGCACAGCAAAGGTTGCTCCAAGAGCATGGGTAGCGGCTGACAGACTGATCTAGGCATACTAATTTTGAAATTTTGCGTCGTAGCAAAAGAGGGAAGGGGGGAGGCAGGATAATATCTGGTCTCAGAAGAATACAGATGGTCCTTCTAAGACAGAAAAGATGCCATAACGATAACGCTGGAAACAGTTGTTCCTAACCCTCATCCGGCTGTGGTCCTTTGCAACATTCCAGCGGGCAGAGGGGCCGGGCCAGTCGTATCACCCTCTCCTGGCTTGTGGCTTCGGCTTGAGATAGTCAGCAGCAAAGACGAGCAAGAAAATTGTCATGAATGTTAGCCAATTGTGTCCAGCTTTAAATGTATTCGACAGTTGGGTTCTCCCAGGTCGGATGGACGACCCAAAATCGTTGGAGAGCGCGAATCTTTTCGCAGGCGGCACTTCGACTGACGCCAATTTCATCATTTGCATCAGCCTGTTGGGAGACGGAGGACATTCTTACGTCTTTGTTTATGGGCGAAGTAACTGCCCCGGTGGGTTGCTGGAGTTCAGGCTATGGTCACCCCTTTGTATGCACTGCATGCATGCTGTTCACCTGCGTGAGAGAATAGGTCTGTCCCCATCCACGTTCAGATAACACTAGAGCTCATGTCTCGATTTGGTACGTTACAAGAATATAAGCTATGTCCAGCACCGTCGGCTCGGTACTCCTGCGAGCTGTGCAGGCACCGAGATAAGCGCACAGTATATCATGTTATTCAGAATACGTATACCGTACTATTGACAACGTTAATGCACAGGACTTACACGTCGACACGCATTACAGCCCCAAAACTACCATTGACAACTTCGTTGGTGAAAAGCGCTGACACCATTGGGTTTTCAAATCGGGATCGGATCACCTCGAGAAGCTCGGCATCGACGATCCGGCTTTCTTTGAGGGCATCCAGAGTACTTTGAGGCACTTGAGCCGCCTGTCGTGCCTCTGCAGCTTCTGTCGCAGTTTCTTCTGCTCGTAGCGCAATTTTCGAACCTATGCAGCCATCTTTTTCAGTGGACTGGAAATGTGTCGAGTTGTTGCACTTGCGCTATAACTATGCTCTGGGCCACCTTGGTGATATTGGAGCTTCACTGGGGTGTGCTGTAGCAGTTGCTGCTCTGGTGCAGGCTGAAGCTGTTGCAGCTTTAAGGCAGGCTGTAGCAGTGCCTCCTCTGGAGAAGGCTGCAGCAGCACCTCCTCTGCGGCAGGCTGCACCTGTGCCTCCTCTGGAGCGGACTGGTGTGGCTGCCCGAGAAGCAGGCGCCTGACATGCCTTGGCTTGGGTGGAGTTGTGCATTGGCCAACACGCTTTTGGGGATTTTTGCGTGCCACTGGCTTTGTCTGCTCGGGAACTTAAACCATGATGGGATGCTTCCCTCACGCAGCATTCTGCGCTCACGGTATGATTCAAAATCAGCTTCCATGAAGTGATCACTGAATAGAAGTGCATTCTGAGAGGGCTTCCACGCCCTTTGCTTTTCTCCCTGACATCTTGTGGCAGTGATCCACTTCCTCAGCAGCTTCAGGTCATGATGAGGGTACCTGGAACAGAAACAAAAAAATGCATCTTCAAAATGCACCCCATACACCTTCCACAGCATTTTTCACCCCAGTCTGATTCCATCTGGTCCACATTTTGCAAGCATTACATCCAGCAGAGCTGTGATCCACATTATGACCATGTCGCCTTAGTGGTCTGAACGCTGCCCTGCATTATGTAACAAATGCATATCATGCATCACAGTTGTCACCGTATCACAATTTGCCACATTTATGTTGTTGCCACAATTGTCACCATGACACCATCACAATTTGCAGGTGTATTATGAGCTGGAGCGGTACTTAGGTGCCATTCATGTTCCACGATACAGAACATGTCCCTTAGATGGGGTTATGTCTGGTTGTCTCTTTGTGTTCCAAAGAAAATTTGTGGTTGTAAGTGGGCTGCAAGCTGGAATTTAATTGTATATTCCCTTCAGACAATAGCGAGGCAACTTGATAACAAGTTCTATGTGAATTTGCGCACTTAGACAGTGTCTAGAAAGTTGAAATTCGGGTATCACCGGTGTGGGCCTCTCACTTCCCAGCACAGTCACAATCAACAGAATCTAGTATGAAAGTCATACAATTTTGTTGTCAGCAGATGCACAGAACATTTGTGAACACCTCTAGCACCTTCATTTAGTCTATACACTATATGATGACAATAAAAAGCATTTTGTCACATACCTGTCAGTTAGTCAATCCACTAAATCTGTGGTGCGGCAAGCAGTGTGCAATGCCCAAGCCAGCAATAACAATTTTTTTTAGGTGTTTTGTACACAATTTTTTTACTATGAGGGTTTGAATCAAACCCTAAGTGCTGGGATCTATGAAATGAAATATACACAAGTTCAGTTGTTAGCTGAGCTTGAACTGGATTACAAAATGTTGCATTTGGTACAGTTTTAACCGTTACAAGGATTTCTTGGAATGCAGAGTTAAAACATCCAGCTGTTTCAAGACACTCGTTTGACTCTGTCATTATCCTAACATTACATGACAAGGAGTGGTTTTCACTGCCTAGTTTACGTCTTGTCTTGGCCAGCTTAGTCTTGTCTCATGAGCTCTATTAACCATACAAATAGCGTGCTTATGTGCTATTTTCCACTTCAAAGGAAGCAGATGCAATATCAATGCCGTACCATCACCCCATCAGTGTTGAATAGCACACAACAGCCTTTCAGAAGTGATAAACATTGATGTCGCCCGTC